TCTGGTGCTTTCGGGGCTCATGGTTTAAAGCTGCCGGGTTTCCTGGGCTGCAGAGTCCCCGGACTGCGGCTCCTCCAGTCCCTTGGCCGTGCCAGGTCCCGCCATAGGGAGAGCATCTGTGAGCCCTCACGTAATCAAGGCAGAAAGTCAGCGGCGGGGAAGGAAATGGTGATAGCAGAAATCCGGTGTGCTTAAACATCGCCATTCTTACTTTTTCTTGCCCGAAAAAGAATTCGTTGTATGTGGGGGTTTTTGCTCTAAGTCTCCTGAATCTTTTTAAATGCCCAGTGTTCATGAAACGGATCAATCCAAACTCATTTTCAGTCATTCAGTACAGAAGCAAATTTTGTTCCAGAATTCCACGGTAGGCCCATAAAAATGCAGCAAATCATTTTGTATCCTACTCGTGCCTTTGTTGCTTCAGTAATGTTTAAGAAGAGTGAATTGTTAGCATATGTAGTAGCTTAAGGGGAGGTGTACCTTTGTCACTGGGCTAATAAGCTTCCTTTATTGCCTCAGGTGAAACGAAAAGGCTGAAAAGAAAATGATTGAGTTACCCAAAGAGTTTGCAACAGACTGAGAGATGGGACTGCATGACCACAATAAAGGCCAGAATTTTTCTCGTTGTTCTGAATGCTGCAGGCGTCCTCCATGGCACCGGTACCCAACAGAGGGCAGTGATAGCCCACGTACCTTTGAAGCTCTTAATTCTGTCACCGGAGTAGCACAGGCTGCTGTCCAGAATTGCACTCCCGGTCATGGGTTTGTGGAGGTTAATAACAGCAAGAAAGGAGGGTGAAAAAAATGGTTGTGGTTTCAGTACCTGTGGGCGACAGCCAACTTTGAAACCACCTATGCTGTTTAAATTTCACTTTGTTCCTACAAACTGGGGATTGCAAAAGACTCTGGCAAAAATATTTGAGAGAGCACTGAACAGGCTGCCCAGAGAGGTTGTGGAGTCTCCTTGTGTGCAGACACCCAAAGCCCTGGCCGTGTTCCTGTGTGACTGCTCTGGTGATCCTGCTCTGGCAGGGCTTGCACTGGGGGAGCTTTCCAGGTCCCTTCCAACTCCTCATATTCTGGGATTCTGTGTGCTCTTAGAATATCTCCCTGGAGCACATCTGTCTGTTTTCAGTGGGAGTGTGTAGTTTTCATTTAAGTCCTAAGCACTGAGGCAGGGTTGCTGGTGCAAAGTGAGTGTTGTGCTAGACCCCACAGAGAGCTACAGCTTTGCAGCAAACTGAACTGATGTTTGGACTTCCAGAACCCCACTGAGAGGTGTAGCAGTTTTTGTTACCTAAGCTTCAGAGATGGCTAAGAAATCTTTTTCTAGCGGTAAAAAAATGAGAGAGGTTGTAGGGGAAAAAAAATGGCAAGCTGAAATCATTAAAGAGAGAAACCAGGCAAACAGAAATATTTTCAGTTTGCTGAAGGGTGTAAAAATTTTAATTGCAGGGCAGTTTCATTTCAAATGTCTACATTTTCCTCGATTATTTGAGATTTCAATCCCAGCAGTGGGATCTTTCATACACAAAGTGTTCGCGTGTCCCACCTGTGGCCACATCAAAACCTTCTGAGTCAGTGAATCAAACCCCGTTCTTTTATTTGAACTGGTTTGAGTTTGGTGCCACGGAATGATCCAAGGGAAAATGGTTTCCTTCAGCAAAGAAGTAAGAGTTGATCTGTTTTGTTTTAATCTCTTACACTCGCTCATCCTTATCTCTAATCTGAGCCCACAGCTTACAAGTGCTTGAAGGTTTTGCAGAACAACAGGAACTCTTTATAATAAATGATTATTATACTTCAAGATGAAAAGCACTGTATAAATACAGGGTATTATTAAAATGCTGATTAGCCTACATGTATTTCAACTAATAAATTCCCTGTGGCAACTCATGCAGTACAATACACACCTTGGTTTATACCCTTTGACCTGAGGACAATTCCCTTTTTTTCCCCTTTACAATTTTGTCTTTTTTTTTTAAATATTTGCATTGGAATTCCTACTCAAGTCATCCAAGTCTAGAGATGTGAACCTGGAGACTGTAATGAAGGCCCCAGGAGGCTGAAGGGATTCCTGAGCTCATATTTACACCTCTATCCTTCCCCCTAATGTTCCCTAACCCCAGAGTATTTAATGCTTAAGTGAGTTGTCATTAACATTGCACTCACCTGGCTGGTATGTTATTCTCAGCACTAATGACAGCGTAGATTGAGACTTCTCTCCCAGAGCAGTTTGGTTTTTTTCCCAGCTGTTTTCCAACATGCAAATGAATCACACTCCAGAATTTCCTCTCTGTAAAATACCTTCGGTGTCCTGCTATCATGTCTTGAAGGCACATTTTAAACCTGGGCTTGGGAAGTCACTAGGATTTCTGAATTTATGTTCTTAAACCATTAAGTGCACCAGTTAAATAAGCACATACTGCTAAATTAACTTGGATAAATTAACTTGGAACGTGATTAACTTCAGGACAGAGACAAGTGAGACAGTTCACCATCTCATAAAGGTTGGAGTTGTTTTTTTAACTTTATATGGGCCCCTCAGCAGGATCACACGGGTGGTTACAGGACGTGAAAGCATCTTTACTTGTGAGCACAAACCCTTTATATTATTCATTAAAAATACATAGCTGGCTGGTTTTCGCATTGCAGAAAATTGTCCTTTAATTGCAATTGGAAGAAAACTGCCAATTTTCACGCCAGCTACAAATAACAGGAGTCAGAATTAGTTCTATTTGTGGGTGCCTTTGGGTAAGCCCTTTGCTGCCGTTTCTCCATCAAATGAAGCAGTCCATTATGCACCACTCCATGCATGCAGTCCAATGAGTGTTTTGAGGCTGCCCTTGGTGGATGAAGAAACAATTCGAGAAAGAAAACGCACCCTGAGGAGTGCAGTGAGGGTTAATTAGTGTTCACATGCGCTCAAATGCAACCGTGCCCAGCAAATGTGGCAATGCTGTGGCTGTGTTTAGATTGTCCAGAAAGACACACAAGGCTTGGAAGAGCATCCGTGCCTCAAGGCTGCCCAGAACTGAGGATGCTGATCGAATGGAAAGTTCTTGTATCCCAGAAAGACATTTGATATATCCTTGGGGAAGCAATTTCCTGGGATCAGGGGAGGACCTCACTGCAGAACTCACGTGCGCAACGGGCAGGATTTTTGCTTTAGTTATTTCATGGGTTGACCGCTGAACCCATCGCTGCTTCAGAGAACCGAGATGGGTCTTGGTTTAAGTAGTACTTAAAGTTTTAGTAGTTAAAGTTTTAGTAGTTCAAAAAACCAGGGATCTTTACTCCTACCCTGAATAGAGAACCACCCCCTGGGCCCTTTTCTTGTTTTTCCAGTCTCTGTAGCCCATGGAATTGGGAGATCAGTCAGTTATAATGCACTCTCTTACTTCCCACATCCATATAATGTGTTCCCTGACATGTGTCATAGTGAGATTACTGATCTTTGCTTTCTAAAGCAGCTATTAACCACGTAACTATTTTGGGTGCACAAAGGCAGAATTTGCTTCCTGCCTACAAGCACAAGATGCATTAAAGAAATCATTGCCCAGTGAATAAATGCGAGAGAGAAGGTGCTGGGCAAATCCTGGCCGGGAATAACCAAAGACACAACCAAGACTCAGAGCGAGCAAAAGCCTCAGGGATCAGGAAAGAAGGAGGCCTGGGAGTGTTACACCCAAGTAGGAGATGTGGGTGGAGATTTCCAAGCACAATAAAGGAGAGGGAGGAGTTGGACAGAGGACAAAAAGCTTGGATGGGACACAGAAGGAGAGAACAACTGGGGAAAAAACACTCAGGGGCCTCATCACCAGCCAGTGATGCTGGTAAAGCCATTTTTTATTTATGCTAGGTAAAAGGCCTTAGGATTTGGGGGGTTTCAGCATTAATAAATATTGCTGAACTGTATTTACTCAACTATTTAAATGGTATTTCTTCATTTTGGGCGAAGGCAAAACTTTTACAAAGGTTCGGGGTTTCTTTCTCTTTTTTTCAGAGGGGCTTTCAGCAACAGAAATTTGGAATTCTGGACCTTATTAGAGGCAGAAAGAGATTTACTGTGCACTCTGTAGCGAATCTCCACCACCCGTATCTGAACGTGCTGCAACTGTAAGTACCCGTGTGCAGGTGAGAACTGTGACACTGTCCCAGGGTCACGTTTGTGACAAGGCACTCACCGGCCACGTGTTCTCTACCATCTGAGCTTGCAGCCAAACCAAGATGTGTCCTTGACCAATAATCCTTCTTTATAAGAGTACAGGACATTAATGCTAACGTCTTGGCCAGATTTAGTTCCAGTAATTATATCCTGCCTTCCTGAATTCCCTTGCAATTTCAGGTGCGTGTGAGATGCATCATTTCCAGGTCTAAACTATGAGCAATGGCATTTGCATTCAACATCTTGCTCTTTCCCATCTAAAAGTAGTTCCTTTTCAGTGATGGATGAAACAACGTAGGGTTTTTTTGGTTTGGCTTTCTCAAAGTGCTGCCAAGTTGGCCCTCTCTTAATCTTTGTCCAAAGGGCATTTTAAAGGTATTATGTGTTTTGAATTCGTTGTCCTTCTGAGGGTTTTTATTGCTTTAACTGCCATACTGGCTTGTACTGAGTAACTTTAATTAATATTTTGTCTCTACAGTGCATGTTTGTTTCATGGTATTACAGAAGCATCATATAGTGTTATTTAGTAGCACAAATTCTTTTGTAGAACTCCCCGAACCCTCTGATTCCCTAGGAAACTGAGCCTCATGGGAACTGATAACTTGTTCGTAAATGGCTTCAATCTGGGTGATTATCCTGAGGTTCAGCGAAGGGCTGTGATGGTTCCTGAGTCTCACTGCTCAGCTGTTGATCACGAGGAGATCAGGCAGTTGTTTTGAAGCTCCATTTTTCTTATTGCATAAAGAAAGGATAATATGATTTATCAAGCTTTACTGGAAGCATGCACACTTAATCATTTGCTGAGTGTTGCCTATTTTGAGCTCTCTGGACTAAAGGTTCCGCGTCAGCAAGTGCCAAACATGAATCGTAATCTTTGTGTTCCATAATAACTGCTGTTATGATAATGATCAATGTTGTTCATTTATAGGCCAGATTAATATTTCCAGGCATCATACTTTTTGTGAGGTACTCCATTTGCTACTGTCTGAATTGGAGAGGCAGCAGGCAATCAGACAGCCTTAGGTGACCCAAATAAAATGACAGGCAATTTAACCTAAGCACTGATAAATCCCTGATAAACTTGCTGAAACCAGGGCTTTTTTCCATTTGTATTTCCTCTCCTGCCTGCCTAAGGTCGGGCATGACCTCCTTTATGATGATTGACAGGGAGATAGCAGTACTTCGAAAAGAATTCCACCATGTTTCTGAGTCAGAAAGAGGAAAGGTCAGACCTCTTCCTTATTTATTCTACCAGTACCAGGATCCAGTTCTCATTTACCTCCCCATCTTGTGTTACCCAAAGGATAATTGGTGCACAGCCATCAGTGGCCATGAGTGGCCTTCTAATGACATCACCTTAGGATGCAGAGACAAAGAGCATGACATACCAGTTTCTCCTTCCTCTTCATCACTTTCCCTCAGAGCCTTTTACTGCTTCCGCATGCTCCTCTTCACTATTTGATATTTGTATGATTACATTGCTCTTTATATCCAAAGTACAGCATGCCTAGTATTAGGATGTTATTAAGCTATTACCTTGCAAGATGGATGTGTGCCTTCAAAAGCCATTATAATGGCTGTGGTTTTGTTCCTGCTGCTCTTCCTTTAAGGCCAGGTAATCTCTGCACAGATCTTTACAGATAAACATTCTTCAGAGAGATCATTTGCAATTTTCATGGCATTTTTTTATTACATGTTTAAGATATTAATTCAGTCCTATGGGAAGATCCTGGCTGAGCTGACCAGTGGTTTGTTTTCCTCTGGTTAGACACAAAATGAGGCTCATTGAATGGACTGCTTTGCTAAATTTCTTTGACAAATATGCCTCTGAATTGTCTCCGGTGCTGGCAGGAGGAAATGAGCCTTTCCATGATAAAATGTTTCCTTTGTAGACCTTACTAAGCAACACAGAGCACCTGCTAAACTTAACCTGAGCTCTACATCCTTGCTCTCCCACTCCACCTTCTGATCTGTTTCTTCCTTTACGTCCATGAAGAGAAGCACCAGAATGGTTGGAGCAAACAGTGTAGAAGCTCATGCAGTCTTTTACAGCCACATTTTGATCCGTTCAGGTGTAGATAAACAGTTCATTTATTGATGTAAAGCTTTGGGAGATGCTGCAACCTTGCAGGAAGACACATCTTTGAAGAGGAGGAGGGAAGCCTTGGGGAACTATTGCTACAGATAATGTTTAGAACTTATGTCTGCCAGCGTAGTCTCTGGGCAGCTTAATAATAAATACATGCCAGACAGATGATCAGAAAGAAGATAACATGATTTCCTGTGGCACCTGGAATAACAGAATGATGTTCCACCTCAGAATTTACACTGAATATTCATGACAATGTGTCCTAGACAGTTTTTCTCCTGAGGGGTGCTCAGTGCATATTTTGAAGTCTGTGACAGATCAAAGGTAATCTGCTTTTGTTCATCCCAATAGTGAAACCCCCCAATCTGACCCTCTTTGTAGCTCCACTGCTGTGTTTAATCTTTAGTGCACAGATATGTGTAGTATACAGTATTATTTGACAAAGAACTAACCTAGCTGCAGTGGCAAAGCAGGGCACGGGGGATCAAGGAATGTCTTGAACAGAGTTTCACAGGTAATTGCTGCTGATCTATCAAGTCAAAGTCAGTGTTCAGGTTTCTAATGGAATAGAATATAAAGTTGAAGTTTGCTGCCAAAACCTGCTGGAAGACTCCAGTTCAAAATGCCAGGGATAATGATGAAAATCGGGTTATTTTATGTTAAGATGCTTTTCAAAATCAAGTGATACAAAATGCCTTACTTGCATTGTACACCTATCTGTTAGTCCTTGCATGACAAGTGAGTGCATCCTCTAAGAGGAGAGAGAATTTTGGAACAACTATCAGGTAAAGGATACGAGCCCTCACGATGCACATTCACTTCTGGAGGCATATTATAATATAATAATAGTAATAAATATTGCCTGCATGGCAAATGCAAATTACGGGTGTTCTTTTCTGTAGACCTCTTCGTGACAAATGCGTCTAGAAGTGAAAATAATCTCGAGATCTTATCCTCTCATGCTCATGAAGTGAGAAGAAAGTCTGTTATGTTAAGCAATGGGCATTGCAAGGAGCTCATTTGATGAGGCTGAAGGCCAAAATGTATGGGATCTGATGTAGGCAGCACCCCTTGCACACTGCTGGAAGGTATCTGCAGGATTGTTAAATGCACGAAGAATTCTGTCCCCTCTTTGTCTAACACAGGAATAAGTACTGCTCACCTTAAAATATCAGATGAGATCTAGGAATATCTCTTTAAAACATCATTTTTAAATACTGTAGCATGACTACAACCCAGCCTGTCGCAATTAACAGGCGGTATCAAGGCAGTAGTCATCCTCATGCTTACATGGCAGCTTACATCACCGAAGCTTTATACAAACACCAATTAACCCTCTCAACAATGCTGCAAAGTGTCATTATGTCTATTTCAGAGATGAAGCAACACAGAGAGAGAGAGAGGCAGAAAGATTTGCCCAGGATTGCACAGCAAGAGGAGAGAAGAGTTCAAGAGTTTAAGGCTTTCAAGGTGGTATTTCTTTGCCCTTGTTGCGGCAGGCTCTACCTTTGTCGAGTTTTGTATTTATTGCCGTCGTTTTTGTGGTTCTGGTGGGTAGGGCAAGTTGAATATCTTCTCGTTGCAGTTGGTTTTCATTTCGGTTGGAGTTTTTTTTGTTGTTGTTTTATTTGGTTTTGCTGGACAGCAAATCTCCTTGGCAAGCAGGGACCCTCCAGCAAACAGGACGTAGAGTTTGTAGGCTGCTGCCTTTATTTGGGTTTGATGTGGTGCTGGTAGGATAAATTCAAGGAGAAAACATCACTAGGCCAATTTAGCTCCTATTGGTTACAAACCATTCCTGATCTAACTTCTGGAGGTTGCTTGGGGATTTCTGTGGAGGATTTCAGACAGGTCAGACCAGGAATATTTGTGCTGTTCAGATGGACTATTCACTCCACATTACTCATGGTGAGGTACGGGTCGTGGAAGCCACATGGCAGCATTGCTACTCTTTGATTGGCTGGTAAAGCTTTCCCGAGCATGAAAAAAATGAAAAACAAGTGATTAATAACAAATCTTAGTGCTTACTGGCTAACTACGGTGCTTTCCGTGTGAATAAGCACACCCCAAACATCAGAGCAAACAGATCCAGAGCACAGGGACATTCATGGGTCACCCAGATAATCTTCTGCAAGGTTGAATGAATCAAAATTAAGTCATCTATGCAATCCCTACATCAGCCCAGCGCTTTGGATCGCCTTTGGCATCATTTAAAGGTTATAAAATTATCTCTTTTTTTAAAGGCAGGTCTTTTCTTCAGCCGCAGTGCTTCCCTTAGGGTTTACCTGCATTCAGAGGATTATTACAACGCTTTCTAAAGTAGCAGCCTGTGTAGAGCTCTTTGTATGTTTGCTGCAGGGGCATTGGGTCTGTGACTTGGCAATTACCGGCTCAGGCACAGACAGAGCTTTTCTATGACAAGGTGAAGGAATCCTGCAGAGGTTGCTGACGGAAAATGTAGTATTGCACCCGAATTTAACCCAAAAAGCATCCATCTCAAGAGGTATGACAGCTGACACAGCCATTTATGTAATAGCTAGTTTCAGTTACCCATTTGCTAATGATTGTTTTGCCCTTGCGCAGTTTGTTCCCGGTTTCTTCATTCCCCTCCTTCCTAGTTGCCATACTGCAGCGCCTCTTCCTCTTGTTGACATCTGTTCTAGTTCCTAATAGGAAAGCCTGAAGTTACTGGATTGATTAACCCCAGTAAATTGCTACCAAGCATTGCTTTGCCATCTCTCTCCTGGCTACCAAGAGGAGTTGGGATCACCAGGGGAGATCTGCCTGCCTGTTGCCAGAAGACAGGAGCCAG